GAGAGAGAGAGAGAGAGAGAGAGAGAGAGAGAGAGAGAGAGAGAGATTTGATGGATCATGTTGCCAAAGTGACCCAGAGCAGTGAGACTCTCAGGTCTCTCTTCTTCCTTTGTATGTGTGTGTGTCTGTTTATACAGTATGTCTACTCTCTACTAAGACAGAATATCCGATCTTTGTATTTGACTACTATATGTACTTCTTTTTCCTCAGTGCCTGATGACCTCAGTCCAGAAGAGAGACAGGAGCTGGAGAGCATCCGCCGCAGAAAACAAGAGCTACTGCAGGACATACAAGTAAGTCACAGTCACAGTCAAAAAACGGCCAATACATCGACAGACCAAAGAAACCAATCATGTTAAGCAAACTGCAGATAAATTGGTAGAGCCATTTATGGCTGCCGATAAATAACATGAAATTAATGTAAATAAAGATTTTATTGTCCACTAGAGAGCACTGCGACTCCACTTGTGGCATCACATCCATGTGAACCAGTCTGAACAGAGTTTGGGGCCAAGTAGTCAACTGGTGTCAGTTACAGCCCATTTTGTTTTTGTGAAACAGTCATTGAGACACTTCTAATGAGTAAACGGCCTGATCATTTTGTCCCTCGTGACAGCAGCTATATAAAAAAATGCTAGCAGTTTATCTGTCTCTAAAGAGATGAAGACAGCTCTGAAAAACATTACATTTTTACAAACTAAGAGGTCTTTATTCCACACCAAATATATACTCAGAATATTCAAGGATTCGTTAAGGGACTTGAACAAGAGCAGGACTGGTTCAGTGAAACTCTTCCAAACCCCATAGTCCCCGGAAAGTGACACACCCACACGGGTCAGTGACACTGTGTAGGTTGATCGAGTTTGTTAACAAGGTTGACTCTCATTTGGCATTTCTCTCCTCTCCTCGCCCTGTTTTGCCCTGGGGGTTGATGGGTAGTGAGGCATGAAGTGTTCCAGTAATGGAGATGGAGACAGAGGACATTTATAAGGAGAGGTAACCATGGAAATGCATATAGAGGGATTCATACAACAATTTTTTTTTTTTTAACCTCAGGCGAGGGTGGTGTAGCCCGATTGTCAACACATACTTACTGAGAGATGTAGATGACCCGAGACACTGTTTGTTTCGATAATTGTCCTCCATTATCTTTTCTGCTTGGCTCAGTCCGTCGCTCCTCCTATAACGTCTGCCTCGGAGCAGCTCCACTAACCTTGTTAAAGTCTTGTATCCTGCATACTCCCTTCTTCCCACCACAATGGGGAGGGTGATGGGGGGTGGGCTGAGAAATCTGAGTCAGCACAGGGGAAGGGTGGTCGGTTCTCACCCCAGAACAGGTGCTACAGCTCCCAGAGAGGATTTTCTGCAGAGGGCGGCTGTTCCACACAAGTCCAATAGAGAGGAAGAGAGGGTCGGACAAAGAGGGAATCATGTCTGAACTTTTTAGGGGTTTTACTGGGTCGTGTCTCATAGCCGTCCCTGGTAGGCTAGTGGTTAAGACTCAGCGCTCTCAGGGAGGAAGATGGAATAGACAACCGTGTGTAGTGCGCTGTGCAGCTGGTGGGTTTAAAGAGCCTCTAGTGGTTAATGTAAAGGGTCAGATGTCACATGTATACAGTATGTCTGTGCTTGTTTCCTTTCAGCCAAATAAAATAATCAACCTTTATATTCCCTCTCTCTCCATCTTTGTCTTCTCTGCCCCTGTGTGCTCTCAGAGATTGAAGGATGAGATAGCAGAAGTGACCATTGAGATAGACAGCCTGGGCCTGACTGAAGAGCGGTAAAGTATCTCTCAACAACCACTTCTGTGCCTGTGTGTAGGTGGCTACAGTCCACTAATCCTTTGTTCTAGTCAGGGAAACCAGAAAAATGACCAGAAAGATCAGCCTGAAACTCAAAACAAACCTTGTGGGATTTTGCGGCAACTACAGATGGTTTACATTATCTATTCATCTGTAGAATATTTTGTCCGATAATTGTTTAGTCTATAAAATGACAGGAAATGGAGGAAAAACACCCTCACATTTCCCGGAGCCAACAGGTCAAAACCCAAAGTGATTCAGTAAATATAATCCTCAGAGCTTTCAACCATATCAAAAGCTTCAGCTGAGGTTAAAAATGAATGTCCACAAAGATTTTCAACTCATGCTTTAAGCACTAGCAGGACTGGTGATGATGTAAATCTGGTTTTAGGACAAGCATGCAAAGGAATAAACAGATGGCCATGGGCCGAAAGAAGTTCAACATGGACCCCAAAAAGGTGAGAATACATTTACATCCAGCTCTTCAGCTTCCTAACAGACAGGTAATATTTTCAGGATCAGGTAAAATGCTGCTTATTTTCTCAATTAATGGATTTGTTGTATAGTCTCTACATCAACAGAAAACAATGGGAAAATATCAGTTTCCCAGAGTCCAAGGTGAGGTCTTCACACATCTTTTGTCCAGCCAATGCCAAAAATAGTGAAGCAAAAAAAAAACTGCAACCAGAGAATTAGGTATTTCTTTAAAAAGTGCACTGGTGTCCTTCTTGGTATGTAAACATCTTATCCTGAGTTCAGAAACCTGGATATGCTCCCTGGAGTACTTTGATAGTAACCACAATACTGTGGGATGTGAACAGCTGGTATAGTGGCAGCGATGGTGAGCAACGGTGGCATGACTGCACACAGACCCTGGATATGGTTGGGATCATTAGTATATGAATAACCAGATTTCTTGTGGTCTCTGCAAACATCCTGAATAACCAGTACTCGAGTGTGCATGTAGACGCACGTGGTTGCAGCTGCAGGTTTACATTAAGACTGTGGGGAAACTGACTTTTCCTTGCTTTGTTGTTGTTTTCTTTTTAATCAAACTAACAAATGATGCACGTGATCACTTGGTGTTTGCAACTCACCAGACAAAGACTTATTTAACTGCTCTGATCTTTAGATTTTTTTTTTCTGATTTTCTCCCACAGGGGATCAGTTTGTTGATTGACAGCTCCCTGCTGAAAAATACCAGTGATAGCATCGCCCAGTTTCTCTACAAGGGAGAGGGGCTTAATAAGACGGCCATTGGCGACTACCTGGGGGAGAGGTAAGTGATGATTCCTTCCAACCAACAGTCCCTCTTCACAGCCGATATTTTGACTTGTCAAAGCAGGAAAAAGCTCACTTCTGTTGGTGTCTAGTAAGTCATGACAGTGAGCCAGTACGCACAATACCCAAACTCTGAAACTGAAGCAGTCCATGGAATTCAGGTGTTATTAATTTTATTAGCACATCTGTGATTTCCTGCTGTTACATGTCAAAAACCTTGTGTGAAAGGTCTTTGCCTCATTAGAAGAAAAGTATAAGCCTGGTATTTTCTAATATTGGACAGAGCTGTACATGTGAAAGGACATCAGTACACTACAGTATACGGTATCTATGAGCTTAAAATGTTTAGTAAATCATCCATGAATCTGGTTTTACTGGATTCATCACGTCTCGTCCAACTCCTTCAGCTGCCAACTTAGTGAGCTAAACAGAGCAGAAATCATTCCTTGATGCTGTTGTCATTCCCTTTACTCTCCCTGTGTGATCATGCTCATGGGATTTTATTTTTTTCCTCTTGTGTCGTGCAGAGACGACTTCAACATTAAAGTTCTGCATGCCTTCCTGGAGTTACATGAGTTCATGGACCTGAACCTTGTTCAGGCTCTCAGGCAGTTCCTGTGGAGCTTCAGGCTGCCTGGCGAGGCTCAGAAGATTGACCGCATGATGGAGGCATTCGCCCAGAGATACTGCCACTGTAACCCCGGCGTGTTTCAGAGCACAGGTACAAGAGTATGTGTGGAGGAAGGGGGACAGGAAAGGTGAGGTGACGTAGCAGCTAAAAACATGTTTACAGTCAGTTTCTCTTTTTGGGTACTTTGTATTACAAAAAGTAAAAATACTTTTTCAGTAGTCAATGGCAAATGCTTACTCTTCCTAAAATATCCTTTTAACATACTGAATGTAGTGTTTGAAAAAAGTACAGACAATTTTCTCCTGTCATATTTTAATTCATAATTGTTGCACATATGTGTCTTGGCAAACCCCACCTGCTCTCATGGAGGAAATACAGTAATGATAAACCTTTCACAGCATGTTTCAAAAGAAAGTTACAAACCAGGATTAAACATTTCAGTATTGCAGTGGGGTCAATAAAACCAGACAGTTAAAAATAATACAAAAGTATGGATTAATATACAATATTAAAACATGACATGTTGGAAAAGGCGGTACCATCATTAATAGGAAGCCTGTTTAAAAGAGAAGTCTTGCTCTAGCTGTCACTGACTCTGCCAGCGTCAGATTTTCACCAAGACTTGCTTTTCATGTCAAAAATAATTAGTGAAGAAGATTAATTTTACAGTTGAAATGAGCTAAAAGCACTGGGAAACATAATTGTCAGATGCTAAAAAAATGTATATATCCACGTTTGTGTGTTTTACAGATACCTGTTACGTGTTGTCATTTGCCGTGATCATGTTGAACACCAGTCTACACAATCCTAACGTGAAGGACAAGCCCTCAGTTCAGAGGTTCACAGCCATGAACAGAGGCATCAATGATGGTGGAGACCTGCCGGAGGAGCTGCTCAGGGTGAGACAAGTTTCTGCTCCTAAAACTCTGGTTCTGACTCTTTTAATTTACTGCACAAATCACATCTGACTGAGAGACTTACAAATAGTGATGGGCCTATGACACCCGAGGCTCCGACACATGCGCCGTAGCTCAAAGCAATTGTCTCGAACCACTGTGTTGAGACCTGTTTCGGTCACGTGACGTCTGAAGCAGTTGGATTCGTCGGACGTCATGTGAATCACTTTGGATCGAGTGTGTTCAGAGACAGGATATCCCTATTTAGTGGCGTTCATTTGAATTTGTCTTTGCAGAGTAGGTTGGTTTGTTGCTGTTACATTAGTTGCTTTGAGAGTTTGTAGTGTTGTAGCAGATTGTGTATTTAGTGGAGAATCATTGTAGAGAGATCAATAGATAGCTAGATAGTAAGTTAGAGAGAAATAGTTACATAGATAACACTAGCTATAGTTACATAGTCCTAAATAATGTTAAATATATTGCATATATAGTTACCCAAACCTCTATGAATTATCCAAGCATTTCCTGTGTACCCCAGCCTCATCTGTGCCATGTGAACAGGTTTTTTCCAAGGCTGGGGAAATAGTCTGTAAAAGGAGAAACTACTTATGTCTGAAAACATAATCACAACATGAGTTTCCATGGATATACTGTTATTCCTCAATAAAAACTCAGTTACACAAACACACCCTCTTTACCCACATACCCATGAACCTCTTTACCAATGAACCCCAAAACAAACTTTTCCTGAAGTCCATACTCTAATCTGTATTTCCACCAGTCCCATGTGAAAATGACATCTGTCTGAATCTGTAGAGCACATCTCATGAATGTAGCAGCACCATTTAAATGTTTTCATAACACAAAATATAAGTGAGGAGCATATAGGGTTACAATCAGATGTGCCACATAAGAAACATGGTCTTCAACATGTGTCCATGTTTATTTTATATTTTATTGTGTCAGCTTGAAACTATACAACCATGTAGTGTAGTCGAACAGGAATGTGCATGGTGAATCAAATCCCGAACAATCCATGAACCAATAAGCGACACGTCTTGACTGCACTTCAGTTTCTTGACCACTAGATGTCCTACTCGAGCACTGTGTCATTGAAGCCTCAGTAATGAACCATTTGTGTGAACACTGTGTCGAAGCTTCAACAAAGTCTCATCGGCCATCACTACTTACAAATGGAGAGTAACAAAGTGGACAGAAAGAAAAACAGCCATAAAACACAGTGGAAAATGTAACTGTTACTGGGTCAGAGAGGGCTGTCCCAAACCAGATCACAAATACACACATTCAGACCCAGATCCCAGCCGGTCTAGTCCGGGTTAAAGGAAAGGTTTTTTTGTTTTTGGTTTTTTTTTTTTGTCTGTCAAGTCATAACAATCCTCTCATGGCATCTCTTCTTAACATGATTCCAATGTAAGTGATGGGAAGGTTAAAAACAATGCATTGCACAGTTCAGCTGAAGCTAATATGAGGTTTAATCAGCCTGAGTTGGGGGAAAAAAATTTTTTTTGAATCAATGAATTAGTTCTTTTTCACTGCTCCACCACTACAGCTCAACAGGGTAATGCTGTCTGGGGAAACAGACGGTACCGTTGTACAAAAAAACAAAACAACTCAGTGATGAAGCTTCATATCAGCTTTAGATAAACTTTGTCCCCTATCATTTACATTAAAATCATGCTACAAAGTCATCTTCTGACCAGTGTACAGAAGAAGCAATTGAAGACAAAAAAAAAAACTTTCACTGCATCCTCAGCTATGTGAGGACCGTTTTAAGTCAGTATAGTGTAAATCTTTGAACAACACTATACTGGGATTAGTGAAACTTGATCTGCCAGATGTTGCCGATTCTTGTCTTAAAGGCTGTTTTGCAGTTCGGTGACAAACGGTTCTACATAAACAGTCAATGCCTCTGACTGCACAACCATCGTTTTCACTGTAGTAAAGATGACTTTCTCTGAGACACCGTCAGCCACACTTACTGCAAATTCACTAGGTCTAATCCAACAAATCTGCTGACTTAATATTTACTTGACATTTATCTGATTCTTTGTCCCAGTGCAGCACAAAGTCTTAACCAGACACAGCTAAAACAAATGCTAGGGATAATAACGTTCTCCTGCCTAATGCCACCTCAGTAATCCATCTTTTAAATCCTCTCCTCTTTGTAGAACCTGTACGACAGCATCAAGAACGAGCCCTTTAAGATCCCAGAGGATGATGGGAACGACCTCACACACACCTTCTTCAACCCTGACAGAGAAGGGTGGCTACTGAAACTCGGTATGTTGTGGTGTCAGTTTAAACTGAAGGCCCTCTGGTGGACTGAACCTGTGGCAGCACCTTTAGCACCACCACCATGACTGAACTGCTCCAGTTTGTGCAATACTCTTAATATTCTTCTCGTTTGTTTTGTGTTTCATGGGCTTTGACTCCAGGAGGTACGTACCCTTTAACTCCCCAGCTTCAATGCACTGCTTTGCTTCTGAGCTGCTCCCTCCTCTGCATTTACCTTTGTGTCACAGTTCTAGAAAAGACGGATTATTTTAATTTCACCCTGTGCTTGATGTGAAAAAGCCATTAATGCTCTTTCACATGTGCTTCTAACAGCCGGACTCCTCGAAATGGCCACTGACCTCAGCTTTTGCAATCTTTGTTTTACCTGCTGCTCTGATTCATCAGCGGCGCCGTCGTCATATGAAGTCCAGTTTTCTGCTCCAGCTCTAACAACCAAAGCTTTTTTTTTTTTAAATTTACCTTCACTGAAGTCGCAGCTCATCTATTTTCTCCCCTCAGGTGGACGAGTGAAGACCTGGAAGAGACGCTGGTTTATTCTCACAGATAACTGCCTCTACTACTTCGAATACACCACTGTAAGCAATTCATGTTTAGATTGCATGGCAAAGTAACAACAGAAATATCTTCATAATTGAAGGCTTAAGAGGTTATACTTGGAGCTCATTTCATAATTTCTTCTCTCTCTGCTGTGTTTTACAAGGACAAGGAACCCAGAGGAATTATTCCACTGGAAAACCTGAGCATCAGAGAAGTTGAAGACTCCAGGAAACCGGTGAACCTTGCTTCTCTTTTGGCCACATTTTGTTGCAGTTGACCTTCCTGAGGGGTCTTTTGCCTAGTCTCATGCCAGGAAATAGATTTTCATAAATATATCCAAGACTACTCTTAAAAAAGAAGGTTCTGGATGTGGAAGGCAGTTCAGAAATATCCAGAAACAAAGTTAAATGCTGACCTGGGAGGGGAAAGAAATCAAGAAAGTCAAGCAACTATGCATTTTAAAATATACTCAATTTCCAGTTTATCATTAGCTAAGCTAAACCTAATGCAGTTTTAATAAACAGTTTGAGAGGTGTCGATTCAACTGTATGAACATTTATGGAGGCTGTAGTTTGTGCTGCCGTTGAACTGTACTGTGTGGAACAGACGACAGCCTCGTAAATGGCCATAAAGTTCGGTCAACACAGGCTGAGCGTGATCAGCTTCATGAAGGGAGGATTTATTGCAGGTCTGTTGCTTGGTGCACCTAATAAAATGACAACTGAGTTGGCCTCTCATGAAGCACAGATGTATCCTGTACCTGTTGCAGCTCCATTAGTTGTTTCAGTGGAAACTCTTTTGTTGCGATCTTTCAAACATGTCCATTCTTAACAGATACACAACAACAAAAAAAAAAAAAAAGCATTAACACCACAAAGGACTGAAGACTTTGTTCGTGGATGATTTTTTAAAAATATCCCTCCAACCTGATTTCAGATGTTTCCTCTTCACATAAACGTCATGACTCATCTTGTTTGTTCTGCCTTTTCCCAGAACTGCTTCGAGCTCTTCATCCCTGACCAAAAAGACCAGGTGATCAAGGCCTGTAAGACGGAGGCAGACGGCCGCGTCGTCGAGGGAAATCACACTTTTTACAGAATCTCCGCCCCGACCACAGAGGAGAAGGACGAATGGATCAACAGCATCAAGTGAGTCACACCGAGCGCCGTCTTTCTGCAGATGATCAGTATGGTGGTGATTTCCTAGCAGTCATGCCTGATCCTTCTCCATCTTCCACCTGCAGAGCTGCCATCAGCAAAGACCCATTCTACGAGATGCTGGCTGCTCGGAAAAAGAAAGTCTCGTCTGTGAAGGAGCTGTAGAACTGTGGAAGATTAAACATTGAAAGAACAAGCGTGTTTGACCTATCAGAGCTGTAGACTGGAGGCGGACCTGATACTCCTGCTGCAACGAGACAGGGACCCAGAGCAGAGGATTCAATTTCTACAAAGGCTCTTTCTTGGGAACATTTTGAACCACTGCATCTTCTGCACATGTTTGACTTTCCTATCTATAGCTGGAATGAGACATGCACAGACGTCATCTTCAAACATCTTCCTTGTGCTGTGACCACACTGTCCCCTGTAGTTGTTGAAATGTGTCACACAGACTGTTTGTACACTGGGCCTCAGCTACTCAAATATCTCACTGAGGAGAACATGAGGAAAAGATCAGGAAGTGTTTTCAGTCAGAATTAAAGTGTGAAACACAAATAATGGTGGCGAGGAAACAGTGCAATTGCGTTAATATGCTGGAAAATGACAGGATTAAAAATAATGTGATTGAGATACATTTCTAAAGTTGTTTTTTTTTTAGTTTACAGCCAGTCTCCATTTTCCATTCTCCAGTCAAGGTCTGTTTCCAGAGGAGGATTAAACCTATATTGTAACAGTTCCTGTTTAATGTGTTGCCATAAACTTTTTCTATCTTGAATCCTGTTTTGTTACTGCTGTGTTTTGTCAGAGCACTATGAATGGAAATGAAAGCAATGCATAAATATCTAAATATTTATTTATCCAAATTTCTTGTAATTTGTTTTCAGTTTTGTCTCATTAAAACTCTGTAAACCACTTCATATTTTTCATTTGTCTGGAAACAGTGTCACTCATCAGAGATTTGTCACCTGAACCTGCAGCTCTGTTTGGCTTTACAGCGAGTTCGTTTTGGTTCGGAGCTAAAATAATGAACAACTCCAAATGAAAATGTTGCTGCATCGCTGCTGGATCTGTTGTTAGCTAACAAGCTCAGCTTGAAAGGTGATATGCTGATGCTGTGTTCACAACTTACTTTAGCTTTGAACCTGCAATAATTTTTTGCTTACTTGGAGGCACTGTAAACAAACTGAACACACATCACGTTGCAAGTTGATATGGTGACCTCGTCAGCCATCGGGTGCAGATCTACTCATCCAGCAGATACAGAGCAACATTGGAGTTTTGGTTTTTAGAGCTTTTTCAATAAGAACAGTGAACTGAGCCCTGTAGGACTAAACCAAATAGTAAAGCAGGACCAGAAAACCAAAACAGTGCGCTGAATGATGGTAAAAAGATCGCTAGAGTAAATGCTGACCTGTATGATGCTACAACTCAGAGGCTAACTGCACCAAACAAATGTTTAGTCATTTGAAAAACTCACCACAGTCCTTTAATTTTTTTTGTCTTTAAAGATGACACGCAGACACTGTACAATTAGCTCCGATTAGTGCTGTAGGCAGAGCTGTAAACACACTGTAAAAGCATTTAAAAACCATTATTAAGGCTCAATGGATTGTTAATGCTTTACCACACCTTCACAGCCTTCATTACATCAGGGATACTCTCCCTGATAAGGTCTCTATTGCTTTCTCATACATGCAACATGTACCTGTACATGTACGGTAGTTAGTTTGAAATGCTTGTAGGTAGTAATACTCCAGTAATACTCCAAAAATCCACAGTGTGGTGATGTCAGCTAAAGGATCTAACAGATGTGCAGATAAACCACCAGGTCTGGAGCTTTAAAAAAAAAACAAGAGGATTTACCTACAGAGTTCATCACATACATCTATTCCTATGATCATGAGTCACTGATGAGGGTTACAGCCAAGGAGAAGATGAAGAAGTGATGCCCAGGTGACGCTCGAGTATGTCCGACCGTCCCCGCTGAGACCTTCAACCTAATGGCCGAAGGAAACCGAAGCCACTTGTCTCCTGCTCAATATGAAAACACACAGACACAAAGGGAAAATGTTCATTATTCTGTCGAGCTTTTATCGATGCCTGGTATGAGTCAGCGTGTCACTACTGGGTCTAGTGAGCCTCTAAACAAACCAACATCATAAGCCTACATGTAAGATTTGTCCTTCGGAATCGATCCTGGCAGAGCAGTGATCCCCAGCGTGGAGGTCACATGAGAGAGCTAAGCAGTGATGGAAAGTAACTTACTACATTTACTCAAGTACTGTACTTAAGTATTTTCATTTTCTGCTATTACATATTTCAACTTTGCTAGAGGCAAAGAGCATACTTTTAATTCACTGCATGTGTTTGATAACTGAAAATCAAATGAATAAAACAAGACTGCAGGACTTTTACTTAAGTCTGAGTACTTCTTCCACCACAGTTTAAAGACTCAAGCTAATCTACTGTCAGAGTCACACACTGGAGATGGTTTAATGTACTAAAGCACAGTGGGTAATCACAGTGTCACCACTAGAGATCAGTCAGATCCATCACAACCACATCAGCTCCTCATGGTGCTGTGTGGATACCAGCTAGATTTTAACCCAGCTGAGCCCTGGAACACTATGTTCAACAGGACAGTGAAGAGTTTGGAGAGGCTCCAACAGTATGTAAAGTTCACTAAAAAAAAACCTTAACCTAACGAATAAAATTGTGTTACTGCGCATCTTAATGTGTGTGTGTATTCAGCCTTCTTGAAAATTACAGTGAGCCGCCATTAGCTTTTCCTTGGTCCAGTCAGCCACACTTTTTCCGAGTGTGCAATTTGTCCTACATTTACGGTAATCTCTCTGAAACGGCTGTGAGGGATATTGGAACATGATGATGTTCTTTCAATGTGCAACCTCACCACTAGAGGTCATTAAATCTCACACACTGCACCTTTATATCTGCACTGTAAATGATCAGGTGACGAACGTTTGAAGAGTTCTCACAGCTTCTCCTGATATGGCATCTTTCAGCCAAAACGATTTAAACCGTGCTTTCGGAAACAGTAGCTACTGTATATAAAACTCGTTCACTATAAGACCCTGTTAAATTGAATATAAACTAAACAATATTCAAGAATAAACTGTCCTAGAACCACCTGTACTTTGTAAACAGGAGTATCATTTACTGGAGATTATAATCAGATTTCACAGCTGGATGTGATTCCAGCTCACAATCTTTGTATCACTGACACTAAAGAGCCTTTTCTGTTGTTAACTAAATATTTAAATAGCTCAGCATGACTTGTAGCTTGAGGCCACCGAGGTCTCTTACAGGCCAGCCCTTGTGTGTTTGCGTCAACATGCTGGAAGTACAAGTCTTGTCAATGTTTTCCAACAGGCCTGAATGTGCTCCTGCTCACATCATTGTCTGAGAGAGCACGTTGTGCATAACACTCATGCACTGAAGGGTGATCTATTTGCAGACGTTTCCTTCTGGCAGCAGATCACTCAACAGTTTTTTGCCTCAACTCCGTCCAGGTAGTGACAAGACACCACCCACTTACCGTCATGATCCAGTGTGACGCTTCCTGTTCTGAGAACCCCCAACCCCCCCACTTTAACAATCATCTATTTTGACATAAACCATCAAAAAGACTCTTCACCATAAACTTCACCAGAGAGCACAATCTGCCTCAACTCTGAGGGTCAATAAACCCTTTTGACTTCACCTCTTCAAGTCCTGACAGGACTCTCAGTAACACCGACCACACTGACACACCATCACCATAACTCCACGCTGACTCACTTCTTGACGGGAGTGAATCAGCCGACACACTGTCCCTGCTCTGGTGATTTAGGCTGCTGGGAAGACGAGGACGGGACTTGCGATTCGGGACTCACCACAATGACTACAGACATTTCTAAGAAGCCACAGCCTGTTGTACTGTGTGTGTGTGTGTGTGTGTGTGTGTTTGTTTGTTTTTGTACAGTATGTTCAGGACTATTTTGTCGACTAGGCAAAAATTAGACAAAATCTGGGTAGAAAAAGGAAAATGATAGATAAATAAAGAGAGACGTATTAAAACTTAGGCCTATGTTTAGTTTAATTTTTGTCATTTTAACTTTAAGAGCCAGTTAAACACGTATCTGCATTGTCTAAACTGTTTACAATAATGCTCTATCTTACACATGTTCTCTCATAACATAGGTGGCTATTTTAGAGGAGAAACTATCAGCTAGCTGAATGAAGCGACACATGCTGGGCTCATTCTCAGCTCAGAAACAAGTCTAAACACTTGTCTGTTTATAACATGATGATGTGGACAGGCTGTCAATCACCTCCTCGCACTGACACATTAACCTACATTATTGTGATCACTACAAATAAATAAATAAATAAATAGATCAACATAAGACATTGATAATCATTGCTCATGTTGTGATTGGCCACACTGATGAACATACAGTCTTTATAGTTTAGATTATGTGAATATTTCTGATTAAGGATGATCACAGTGTGGCTGTTTTAACATTTTGACACTGCACTAAATGTAGTTTAATAGCAGGCTTTTGAACAGAGGCTGCTTAGAGACAACATTCCACTTTAGATTTACTACTTGTTGAAACAGCGTCATTAAATCCAGTTTAGCAGGATTTCTAAATGCAAAACAGATGACAAAAATTTTCATTTTTTTTTTTAACCATACTTCATCAGAATCAGTGGACTGTTACTGGGTCGGACTCCAGGTTTTATCTGTCTGATGTCATCTTCTGCTGCCAGAAGCTCTTTGTCCCCATTAGGCTACAGCTGAATAAATATAATAAAAATCCATGCAACACAGAGTCTGTAGCTTTATTGGCCATTAAGTTTCTTAAATGATGAATGAGTGGATTATACTAAGCAAAATTTAAGTGTGAACTTGCCAACTCTTTTCCAAATCAGGCTCTTTCACCGCTGCTTTTTTCTTTTTAAAGATAAATTTAACAGTCACACAATATTTACAGCTCCACTGGATTAAAACGGAGGCTCTACTATTTGCAGTTGTGAACTGCACTATCAGATATGGATTTATTTCCATTCATCACACACACTTAACTCTGCGTGAACATACTCAGAGTTGCTCATCTAAAGTGAGTACACCTAAATATTTGACTGTTGAGCTGCTAAATGCTCCACTACGTTCGCTAGCTAGTCATGAACTGTGTCTGTCTGCTGTTTGGTGCTGAGCTGGTACTGTACAGCATTTTCTTTTTTTTTTTTTTTTGAGGACTGCTGTTGTTGCTGGAAACAATAAAACTAGTGAGATTGAAACATAGCAGTCAAGCTGTGGCTGTAAAACCCAAACTATCGTTTAAATGCTGCTCACAGCTCTGAGGAAATGCAGAGTCGGATGATTAAATCAATCTGGCTGGGTTTTGTTGAGTGACTATTTTACAGGATCACAGTCATGTGATCAAAATATTGATAAGTGCAGTTTTAAAACCTAGTCCGACTACTCACATTTCTTGCACTACATATTGAAATGTTTTCATGAACTAGAACAATCCTAAAAGAATGAACAGATGAGTTTATTTTATGTTAAGTGAGCATGTACATGTCTGTGTGTTTGCACCTGATGGCGTCTCAGAAGAAATTCTTAATGAGGGGAGTGACTAGCTTCACCCACAGCTTGACGTGGCGGTCTGGCCGCTCAAACGTGGAGCTGGACACCTCAGTGGAGCGCTGGTACAACATCTCCTTCTCCTGAGAGGCACAGAGTTTAACTCAGGTGTGCATTCAGTACAGAGTTACTCAGTCATTCATCATCATTTGTGACGGTGGTTAGAGTGGGGGGAAAAAAAAGGGCGCACCTCCTGTAGCTGGCTCTGCAGCTCCTTGTTCTCCGTTACTATGGCAATTTGGGCCTCCAGGTCACGGTGAACCGACCGGTAACCAAAATTAGGGGAGCCAATTAGAGTGAGACAAGGCTGATCCTGTCCCTGGAGGTAATACCACAAACCTGTAGGAGAGGAAAAGTGGAGTGAGCCACTGAGGAGGTAATGCTTCAGAGAGCCTCATCCAGCAGGGATTTCTGTCGGCTCATACCACAACTAAAAGGAAGCACATGCAGAAATCCCCAGCGTCGATCCAAAACCCCAAAGTATGAGGGAGAGTGAGTGTACATCCTTGTCCTGAGGCTATAACAGAATGACTGCACAAGCCCTCTTCTCTCACGCTACATACCACTATGACCACAAGAAGAACAGCAGAACAGGAGAAGAACTGTGAGTGTGATTTATCATCTTCGCTGAGCCAAACTAAACCGATTTGGATGCTGAGCCCTGGCTTACACTGTAACATTTTGTACATGTTGATGTGGGAGATGAGTCCACAGAAAGTTAAAGTCTAATAGAGGAGGATAGAATTGTTTGTGAGCAAATTTCTGGAAACTCACAAGAGATTCTTATTCTCCCCACAAAACACTTACTATCAATCATTAGTAATTTAAGCAGCCTGTCACTCTACAAAGTTTAAAATCTGGGAAAACTCGTGGGTTTAAATTAGTATTTACCTGGTACCAAATATACAGGAGAGGTTTTCATTGCTAACCACAAAAATGTCTTCTTTTTGGTAACAACAGGTTTGACTCAATAACACACACAACAAAATCCAGGTTGAAACACCTGGATTTAATTTAGCTTTGCCTGGTTTTAAATCTCTGACTCAACCTCAACTTGTTCCAAGGTTTATATAAATGTGATGTGCTTACTGGTGACTGTTCCCGCTGACTGGAGAGCAAAACTGCCACAACATTTGTGACAAACATCAAGGATCAGATTGACGACGCTACATGTATATTGTTATAATTTGACTTACAACAATAGAACCTCTTAAAATCTAAAACTCCTTCAATTGTCTTGAGCAAGTTTAAGATAACAGAAACCGCTCCCTCAGCTCCCATGACAAAAGTAATCAGCGTTTGCTTATAAAGCAACCCCCACTCCCCGGCCAAATCCTCTCTTCCCCTGCTTCTTCAATGTATGAATTCATTACATGCCGTCTATACATAGCGATGATGTACTGAGAAATTTATAGTAGATGCTTTTGTCACATGATTTGCATTTTATCACTTATCTATTACGACTCACAAGAAGCTTTAAAAGGACGAGATGAAAGTGTAGGCCAATTAGTCGGGCAAAGAAAATTAATCAGCAAGTTCTTTGATAATTAATTATTAGGTTAAGTCCATCCTCCTGGTTCGACTTCTCCAGTGTGAGAACTTCCTGGTTTTTCTCTTTAAGATTCATTGCAAAATAAATTTGTTGGTTAGACAAAGTAAGCAATATGAAGACATTCCCTTGACCGCTGGGATATTGTGATTCCTGCATTTTATACACAAAATTATTAAACAAATGTAATCAACAGAGGAATATAACTGTTGGTAATAGCCCTGATGGGAAGGGCGGGTATGTCATCCACCTTTGGCGTGGAAGGTCCACTGTGGTCTGTGGTACTCGTGCAGGTGCACTCTCTCCTCTTGGCCCAGCTGGCACACCTGGTTGTAAAACTGTCTGGCGATGTGGGTGTAAGCTGCAGGGATTGCTCCGGCGACGCCCTTGGCTCCGAAGAACCCATTGACCTCGGGGGAGGCGGTGAGGATGCGGTAACTGGCTCCTGCCCCGAGCACCAGCCGCATGTACGTCCGGGTCAGGTTAAAGTAACCTGATGTTAGGAACACAGTGGAGTCCGGCCCAGCGTCTGTCAGCAGGCGCTGGAGTTTCAGTGAGAAACAGAAAGCGAAGGAGAAGTTAGACATGTTTCTAATTCCTGACACTGAGAAAAACAGAACTGGTTGCTGTGCTATTAACTGTGCAAACAGATGGTTATTAGTGTGTTTTACGGCCGTATACAGCTGATGGTAGAGCTGGGCAACATGAACTAATGCCTATTAGCATGTAAAATTTTAAAACTGCTATTCCTCAATTTAAAAAAGTGATGAGACTTATAAAGCACGTAAACCACTTTAAAAGAAACCTAAATAATTTACAAAATGTATGATGAACAGCCACATCACCACCCATTAAATCAAAGCAGCTCCAATGCAAAGTAAGTCAATACAACAGCTTCGCTCCCTGCATAAAACTTAAAATGTTAAATAGATCCCGAGACAAAGTGTTGATTCAACTTTATGTGGTGGTTCTTTAAGGGCTCCGGTTTGTGAAGTTGTACTGAATTAGTGTATTGTGTTTTATTGTGCTAATTCCCAGAATATGACTAATAAACATTGAATAAATGCTCAACTATTTATTAGTGACTTATTAGTCACATGTTCAAAACCTCCATCAACCGATATTTATCTTGTTTGTGAGGAAATTATCAGCATTATGCTACCAAAGGTGTGTTTTTATCAGTTTCAGCTCCAAATACGACAGCCAATCAGAAGAGGTCAGTTGTAGAGCCTCACCTGTGTGACCTGTTCGTCCATCCGGATCCCCAGAGGTTTCATCTGGACCAGAGGGAACACCCAAGTGTCCTCCTCCTCCCCCTCGCTCATCCCCTCATCCTCAGAGAACCTCCATGACCCGCTTCCTCGCCTCTGCCGAGAAGTCCTGCCTGTTGCCTGGTTGAGATACAGAACATGAGCATACGCTTAGATAAAGATAAGTGAGCGCAGTGGGAGATGGATCTGATCTCTGGGTCACAGTGCTCTGGGCTTTGAGTTTATGTGTGAGTGAGCTGTACTGCTATCTTTGTGAGGACTCAGTTTTACACCACCTTAGTGAGGACCTTTAAGCCAGTGCATCCTGCTGCAAAAGAGAATTTGACTGCTTGATTTTAAGGTTGAAGTCAGAATTAATTTCATGTTAGGATGAGTGTGAGGCATTTATTGTGATGTTATGTCAGGGGCTAGAGAATGAATTGTGTCAATGAGGGCTCTCACAAGTATAGAAAGACAAATGTGTGTGTGAGACAGCATCTACAGTTGCTTGCAGAAATGAAGCAGAATGTCGATGGGAGTCAAAGTACAACTTGCTATTTTAGAAAATGTCTGATTTGCTTTTGAAACATTGTAACAGGACATCCAATAATAGTTGTGGTCATTAGTTTAACCACCAGTTTTTATTAAAAAGGATCCATTTACCCAAACTGCAAAGACTACATAAAATATAGTGACATATTTCAAAGCTAGTTTGTAATCAGTTTACCGGTAATGTAAGGAGAAGCTCTGTTGCCAGGTGGTTTCTGCAGTTTGGAGAAATAAAACTGTTCACAGTGAGGCCACTGGAATACCCAGAGCAATAACTGGAAAGAGAAGCTGCCACTGATTTTTTTAAATTTAATCTATCAGTGCTATGAGCATCACAAATGAAACTGAATACACCAGCACTGTGTCAGGATGGAGGCAGGCATTTCTAAACAAAACTATCTTCATGTCTAGACATCACTTAGCTTGATTTCAGACCTGCAAAGCAGCACCCACATCTCTGATTTGTTGAGATACTCAAACTGGTCTGGTGTAGACGGTCGTTTGTGCTGGCTGGAGAAACCGTGAACCCATCAAAGCTTAGCAGGCAGGACTGAGAATGAGACGTCAACTTCCTACATGGCTGGCTAGCTGCATCCAACTGAAAATAGCTACAACTGTGGAAGGAGCTGTGCAGAAATGGGATTTTAGGCTGTATAGAGCAAGCAGTGCCTGACAGCGAGCATGGACAGAGAAAACCAGAGATGAGGATGACATGCAGCGAAAGGTCACACCTGAAATAACTCTGAAATCTTTGATCTGTGTGAAAAACCAATTGGTTCTAGTGCACCCAGTTTCCATGTCAACTACATTTTAGAGTCAAATATTGTACTTTTCACTCATTACATTTAATTAATAACTTTAGTTACTCTTTACTTCACAGAACGAGATTAATAAAACACAGTAAAATCATAAGACTTTATTGATCCCTGGTGGGAAATTCACAAGCTACCAAGTAGTATATAAAGTACTTCAAATTATAAACCTATAAAGTAGTCAACATTAGCTCTACCTGTGATATACATCATTAACAATAATTATAGTCCAATAATATAATATGCCATTCTGTATAATGAGTACTTTTACTTTTAGTGCCTGAAATATATTTTGATACCAATACTTTTGCACTTTTATTGAAGCAGCATTTTGAATGCAGGACCTTTACTTGTAACAGTATTTTTACACAGTAGTACTGATAGATACTTTTACTTAATCAAACCATCTGAGTACTTCTTCCACCAGTGGAGGAGAGTGAGAAGATGCTTTTTACCATTTGGATGCAGCAACCACTTACACTTTATTGTAACTGCACAGCAGGAGCACTTTGACCTCTGTTATCAGTTAACGCTCACTGACTCACTACAAAGCAGGGAACGACTCATAGTTCCTGCCTCTGTGTATCATAAATCATCTGCACATGTCCACACACAGCCCAAAACTTGCATGTGCCCTAAAGGTAAACTGAACTATATGTATTTTTTATAATGTATGTGATGTATTCCATGCCCTTGGTCCGACTCGTGTCAAGTATTCGCGCCCACTGTTTTTACGTTGTTCAGCCAAATACAATAACCAAATGAGCTTTTCTTGCTGTCAGAGGACGCCTTCATGTTTTCTAGTGTGCATGTGTGGAATGTGTCCATGTACGCATTCCCCTGGTGTGCATTCGCGCGTTTATCCGAGGGTGTGCAGAAATCATGAACTGGCCTTAAATATGCCTTTACTTTTATACCTCAAGACAACCCATTGGTTAATGTCAGATACAAATGTTGTCTGTCATCCTTACAAATTAGATTTCATTAGGATTTCACCAGTGTCTGCTTCTAATAACTCTGTGTGTGTGTGGTCCCACTACATATCATCTTCCAGCAACACTGTGACATCATAACTCTATTCCTGGTGTTTGTTACCACGTTTGTCCAGTCCTGCAGACATGATGTCATTCATTCCTCCAACATCCTGGCAGCCTGCGCTCCAGTTACAGACACACTGTACGAGTGCGTGTGTGTGTTTGTGTGTGAAAATCCTGTCAATTTCACATCCGGCTGAACAGCTAGCCAACCACAAGAGCTCTCTCCATCTTTCTCACTGTATTCACACACACAAACACGCACACAGCAGTCCGTCTCTCTGACCATTGTCTATCTGCCTGTCTAAGCTTTCAAGCTCCATTAGCAAAATCCATTGGCTCCTCTTGTTGAAAACCGGGCCAATGACACCGTAACTGAGCGTGAAGCCATTTAGTTTCTTACCTTTGTATGGGTGCACCATGCCCTCGAGCATTGTGACTGAGTTGTCAGGCTGAAGCTGCAGGGAAACGTCTCCCACAGCCTCCACCAGGTTGGAGAAGAAGTCGGCGACCTCCCTGCAGTTCTCCAACAGCACGTAGCGGTCCTGTCTGTTGGTGAAGTACGAGTCGCTCAGATTGGCCCTAAAAAACAGAGACCATATTTTAAGAGACCAGGGAACAGAGAAACAGATTTATACTGAACTAAATCGAGGGTTTATGAGTAGAGGTCGTCATATGGTGAGGTGTGTTTTGATGAGAATGAGGAAAGATGGAAAAGAGAGATGAAAGAAAGTTTCATAGGCATTTGCCCTTTGCCCTAAAAAATAAATAAGTAAATAAAAAGGTCATTTCTTCTATGCAGACCAAGAAACAGTACGAATCTAATTAAAGGATAAGATCCAGTTACAATACAGGTGTGGTACAGTTCAATCAGAACAGTGGATGAACTTCAGCTTGGAGTCATGTCATGTCATTAGCCAATAAGAAAACAGAAATAAAATGCCTCCTGGAACCTGAAGGCAGGATATTTTTTTACACCAAGAATTTCTGCTGTCACCGACAAGGAGGAGGTCAAAAGGACAGTCTGAAGAACTGCCTAAGAAAATGATTCTGATCGCTTCTATGCACCTGAGTATGAAGAATTAACATTATACTCTACTGCTTAGTACATGTGGCAGTTTGTTTAATTTCCCCCACAAGTCGTCAGTTTAGGTCAGTGTCATGTTCTGTCATTCTGTGTGCAGAACTGAAATGAAGAGGAAACAATCCTCAGCACAAAGCAGTACTGTGCCCCCTGGGCTTGCAGCACACCCACTGTTCTCCATTTTCATTCTGTTCTCCAAAACGAGACCATTTCCTCGCTGTGGTGGTAAACACCTGCACTTTGATCAGGAATCTTTTCTCTGGACCCCTACCCAATGTGACCAGTGATGACATGTTTAGCCGCATGTCGTCATTCAACCGCTGGCTGTCTAGGTGGTGCCCAGAAAATAACGTGGGCTTCATAGA